GGCTCGGACCGCCTGGGCCCCGGACAGCAGGTGGCTGCTCGAAAGAAATCCTCCTTTTGGGGAAAAAATACCCCAAACTAACACAGAAATTGCCAGAAACGCTGTGGCTGGGTAATGCTGGAAACGAAAGAACTTGTTGGTAGTTTGAATCAATTACTTAACTAATAAAATTTAAGTAATGGTTTGAATTAAATTTTAAGTAATAGTTTAAATTCAATTTTAAGTAATGGCTTAAATTCAACTTTAAGTAATGGTTTAAATTTAAGTAATGTTTTTAATAACATTTTAAAATAATAGTTTTAATAAATTGTTGAGTCTTATTTATAATTTATTTTTAATTGCCTTTTAATTAATTGTTTTCCATAATTGTGGATATGCTTAGCCAGCATTTAGCAAAGCTGTTGTAAGATACTTCTGCACAAACACAGCTTGGGAAAACGCCTGAAACTTCTTGAAGTTTTGGCAGATTACACAACAGAAACCCAGAGTGAAAATCTTTGGTAGGAGTCAGGTTAAGGGTGTTTTTAATTCCTTTTTTACTCATGAGGGGTGAATATCTGAAATGCCTTCAGAGATGCAAGCAGGAAAGGAAGGCTGGAGGAATAGCAGTAAAAATGAGTAAAGACTGTAAATATTCAAAGAATAGCTGAATATTGAGTTACAAAATTTGTTATGTGCTGTAGTAAAGAATCACCAGTGCCCACACGCTTTACTGAAGGGACAGCAGGAACAGTGGTGATGTGTTTTTGTTAAATAAATAAATGGACAGGATGCCATGGTTAGAGCAGCTCTGTTCAAGTATTTAATGCTGGAACAAGCTGTCACACACAGCCCCACGGGTGAGCGGAGCCGAGAGGAAGCTGCAGACAGCAAAAAGCAAAAGATCTGTGATTAAATCTCAGGTTAACAGGGTGAGAGGCTGCAGAGCACTGAGCCACAGCAGGAAAACCGCACACAACTGAAGAGAAAAGCACTGGGACATGGTTTAGTAGTTGTCAATTCCCAACATTTAATGGAACATGGGTTCACTAGAGCCAGTCTGGAATCAGGGTATTTCAGGTCATTCAAGAAAATCCAAAATCTTAATGCACTTTTTTTTTTTTTTGCCCTTAAGCAAGGCATCACAGCAACCAGACACTAAACAGTTCCCACAAAAATATTTAATTTCCACAGTATTTTCTTTCAGTATCTTTAGTGAATTGTGTAGAATTTTACAGGAGACAGTACTTAATGCAATATACAGAATAACAGGATCAGCCTGAACAACTTCTTCCTTTTTTTTCCAGCTCTGCCCCCCCTATTTAATTCTCCTGGTCACTCTGTCATTACTGCACATTTGTCCTTTTTTTACACGAACGTTTCCATGTGGAAAGTGGAATTTCAGAATGTTCAGCACCGCAGCCCTCGCAGGGTACAATGCCTGGGGTAACTGGACACGAGTCCAACAGACTAGAGAAGCACCTTACATACAATATGTACATGGAGAGCACATTCTGCAGCTTCACTGGGGCTGGACAACAGGGACAATCCAGGGAAGGTCTGCAATTCCAGTGGCTAAAGTCAGAGCTTCCTGTGTTAGAATGCCTGAAATGAAAAATCCCAAACATCCCAGTCCTCACATGATTCCCTTCCCCTGCTGGGGTTATCAGCGTGTGGGATTTGCCTACACTGCCTTCCACCACACCCTGAACATTCTGCAAAGCAGTGACTTCCATGGCACCAGAGCCCGGGTTAAGTCAGCCACAGGAACAGCAGCTGCAGGGCTTCCACAGCAGAAGCAGATGGCAGTGGGAGTCCATGAGAGATGCACAGCATGTGGTTTGGTGCCCCAGGGCTGGGAGCCACAGCCAGCAGAGCTCCTTCACCTCAAAGCGCTCAGGGAGCTCAGAAGGTCCCGGCCAGGGCCAAATTCCAAACAGGAATTTTGCTGGCCTTTGAGACTGTCCCTGGCCCTGCTGTGCCACCTCCCAGCCCAGAACAGGGCAGTTCCCCTCCTCTTGTCCCTTCTGTGGCCATCCCACCTGCGCTCCTGGCGAGAGGTGTTTGAAACTCCAGGCTCTGCCCACACCGAGGTCATGAAAGAAAACGTTGGTGTGCAGTCCCTGGGCACCCGAGTTCAGAAGCAGCTGGCACAATGCCAGGATAATTTTGTTTTATTTAAAATCTGGGATGCTTAACTCTGTTTTGGAAGAGTTTGCAAGTTAACTAACTGTATAAAAATACAGTGTAGCTGTAATATTGCTCTGAAAAGCACTTTTGCAAACTTTTTTTTTTTTTTCTGTACAGACTGGTAAATAACATTACCAGATAATATAATACATTTTTTTAAATAAAAAAAGGAACTCTCTCAAAGTCTGAACACTAAAGTCTAAATAGCTTGTTTAAAACACAACAGTGTGACCCATGAAAATTCTGCTTTGCATGGTTAAATTATAGCAGCATGGTTACTGGCTTTTCAAGGAAGTTCTTGAACTCAGCAAGCCACTGTGCTCCAACTGCTCCATCCACAACACGGTGATCACAGCTCAGGGTGACAGACATCACGCTGGCCACGTCAAAGCTGGGAGAAAAACAACAAAAAAAGGGTTAACAGACCCCTCTGCAAGGCAGTGCCACTTACAGAGCAGAGAAGCTGCTTGGAGAGCCAGGAACGGCAGCTGGTGCCTGGTGACAGATGTTTCCCCCAGCTGCACTGGGGAGCAGATCATGTTCGTTCCTTCTCTAGGAAAACCAAGGAAGGAACCTCCCAGAGGCACTAAGAACACCTCTGTGTGCTCCCCTGAGCGCAGGGAGCTCAGCTTTCCTTGCAGCACAAGGACAGCCCCACACACAAAGGAAAAAAACATTTTAGCTCTAAGCAAGGGGACATTAATACAGGATCCATCCTTGAGGATTTCCTTAAGTGCAAACTGAAGCAAGTACTGAAAGCACTGTGTCAACAATACATTTTAAGGTTTTTAAAATTACTATCTAATGTAGGTGTTAGGAAACTAGGCATGACTTCAGAGTTTGAGTTCAGGATCAGATGGAAACTCACCCTTTCTCATTATCAGCTGGCACTAGTATTTCTTTTGAGGAACCCACTGCCAGGATGCAGGCTTGAGGTGGATTGATTATGGCAGAGAAATTCTTAATCCCATACATTCCTAAATTGGAAATTGTGAAAGTACCACCCTGAAAGAAAACAAACACATTCAGGGGCAAACTCACAAAAACTGGGAACATGAGGAGAGGGGAGACCTCATTCCAGTCTGCAGCTTCCTGAGGAGGGGAGGCTCTCTGGTGAGCAGGGACAGGATCCAGGGAGAGCTGGGGCTGTGCCAGGGGAATTTGGGCTGGATCTCAGGGCAAGGTTCTTCCGCAGAGGGTGCTGGCACTGCCCAGGCTCCCCAGGGAATGGGCACGGCCCTGAGGCTGCCAGAGCTCCAGGAGGGTTGGACAGCACTCCAGGATGGCCAGGCTGGGATCTGGGGTGTCAGTGCAGGGCCAGGGGCTGCATTCCATGACCCCTGTGGGTCCCTTCCCACTCAGCACATTCTGTGACTACTGAACAAGGCTCAAACATCACAAACCAGCCTTTGCTCCTTTCAGACAAGTCAAGAGCAGCAGAGTTTCCACCACGTGGGGTGTCTGACCTGGAATTCGTGAGGCTGCAGCTTGCCCTCGCGGGCTCTGGCTGCCAGGGAAGCCACGTCCTTGCTGATGGCAGCCAGGCCCTTGATGTGGGCGTTGAACACGATGGGGGTGATGAGCCCTGCAGGGGTGCTCACAGCCACACTCACATCCACCACATGATTCCTGCAACACACACAGCAGCTGAAACACCTCCAGCAAGGGAGCAAACAGGAAAAATAAGAACAGGCCAGACAACCCAAAATTAACATTAATCTGTGACAATTATTTCACCTTTCCCACCAGCCTTAGACTCGAAGATTTTATCTCTTTAACAAAACCTCTCACCTTCACATATTTTTGCCCTCCCTCAAATCCCAGCAGTTCTGTTGTGCCATGAACAAAGGAAGTTCGTGGCTCTGACCATGCCATAAACTTACTGCCTAATAACTGTGTCCATCCACG